CACATAGATATATGTAGACATAACATTGTTGAGGGATTGTGTATAATTATTGGCTAATTCTTTCTGTTCTGCACTACAGGGCCTTGAGGCACGTCCAAAGCTAAAACCTGGAAGCTACTTTCCTTCAGAATCACCTCCCCCTTGAGCAGCCCTCTGAGCATAATGACTTTTAAGGCATTCCTCTGCTCATTTATCTCAGTGGGTGCATTCTCTAGATTAGGTTTGCGTTCATGGTCAGGTGAGAATATCGCAGCCAGCTGTTGGCTGATGGTGGAGGATGTAATAACCAAGGTGTTGTGGTTCGATATTAGCTCCGGTAGGATATTACTAAGAGAATGCTGTATGGGTTAAGTGATCTAAATTAGCACATATTTGAGCAGTAAATGTGTAGTAACAATGAGTCTCATGCCCTTCTGCCTGTCGGGGGCTCCACAGGGCGGCTGATCTGGAGAACTTGAGGGTCCTGGCACCAGTCACAATTGCAGTCTGACTGTGACTCCGTCCCTGATATTAATACCATTCTACGTACTTTCAGCACTTTCCCAAACATTACACTGGGCAGAAAAACATCATCCAGGTGGCTCCACATCGACTGCACAAAAGAAAGATTCCCACAGTCTATCAAGGTTAAGCAATGTAAACAGACTCTTCTTGTACTAGGCCAGGAATTTTCCACTTGTTTCCAATTGCTCATTGTCATGACCAATTAACCTTTAATGATTGACCCTTAATGATCTGGTTTGAAGGCATCATTTTTTGCGTCTACCACTGCACAATGTCTCTGGAATTTGCTGGAGTCAAGGTTCATACACTGGATGTGTCCATAATAAAATAGATGTCAATACAGAGGCAGGCTTTCTCCAAGTGCTGGAACAGGGAACAGCTGCCTCAGTGAGCCAGCTCCAGCAGAATATGCCATGGCTTCCAGACTTATGCTTGGACCAGCATTCCACTGCTATAGCCAAGGGTTATGGGTGAGCAATGCCACTGTGTTCAGAAGGTGATCAGACAGTAAAACATATCTGACCGTAATTTTTATGCATTTCACTCAGGACTTTTGGGGTGTCCTTTTAGTCTGCCGATTATGCTCATCATTGCCACCAACCACCCAAATGACCCTGCTCACATTTTATCTTCAGCATAATTGCATTTATAAGAAGACATTTACAAACTGGTGAGCTTCACATTCCAGACATCCTCCGTAACTTTTAATCTCTGCATGCTACCCCCCAACATTCCCCATCACCCTTGACTCATCCAATATAGCCATTCCTGTCCTTTCTATTAGCCTTGAATTTATCTCACATTCACTTACCTTTGCCATCAGCCACTATATGCCTCTTCTCCCCTCAGCCTATACCCATTACAATTCCCCATGCCCACTTTGACCCTTCTTGTTTTTTGTGCCACATTGTTGATTTGATTCCATGAGGCCATCTGATGTCCAATTGACAGCACCAACCCTGGCCAGCAACAGGACCAACACATCTCCGATACTTGGCCCTTCCCATTACTGATACACCCCTGCACGCTTGCTTTCTTTCACTGCCTTGGGCAACCTTCCTCCCTGCCTCAAATAGACTTTCTGCCTCTTTGTTTGTCTCAGGCAGCCCTGCCATTGCTCACTAGGTTACAGTCTCCCTCTCTCCCTGCTCTCTTTGCAGAGCCAAACCCCATTGTCTTTTGAATGCTACCACGCGATGTCAACGATGTTGAACAATGCCTCCCAAAGAGGAAAAGCAGTGACTTCTCTCTGCAAGTCCAGCAAATTGACTACCTCACCAGTTTCATGCCACCTGTTTGCAGACATGAACCTGAAGGCTCCTATTTCTTGTTTGCAAATAATTTGAAAGATTTTGGCAAAGTGTCTTTTTTCTTAATTTGTTCATGAGATGTGGGCATCACCGGCTAGGCCAGTGTTAATCATTCATCCCTAATTGCCCTGGAGAAGGTGGTGGTGAGCTGCCTTCTTGAATGCTGCAGTCTTTGGGTACACTCGCTGATCTGTGAAATAGGTAGTATCAGAATTTTGACCAAGCAACAGTGATGGAATAGCAATATAGTTCTTAATCAGAATGGCAAGTGGCTTTGAGCAAATCATGCAGGTGGTAGTGCTCCCATGGATCTACTGCCCTTGTTCCTCTAGGTGGTTGTAGTCGCAAGTTTTGAAGATGTTGGCAAAGGAGCCTAGATGAGTTCCTGCAATGCATCTTTGTAGATAGTACACACTGTTGCCTCTGCATTGATGGTGAATGGAATGAGTGGTGAAAATTGTGACTGGAGTATCAGCCAAGCGGGTATGCAGTCAATACATGACTATTCATCAGGCTTTCCCGATACTTGTCATAGGAAGCACAATCTGCCTTCAAATACCCTATAACTAAATATTGTAATCTCATCCTGCCATCAGGAAGCTGGTTATTTTAGCCTCCTGCAAAATTGACCTCCCCCTTTTGCCAGGCTTTCAGCTCCTGAGAGCAGCTCAATAATTCTTCCCAAAGTTTCAGATCAATGAAATGTCAACCCTGCTTTCCTGACCTGCTGAGTAGCTTTCCAAGAGCAGTATTGTGCTTTTGGGTTTGTGATCTGGTTTGGCTGAGATTTTCCAGTGTAATGCTGCAGGTTCTTCCAATCTGGGGGCTGAGCTTAAAAATTACTGCAGATCACCGAGATCTCAAATTTCTGTCTCAGCCATTTCACTGGTATCTAAAACATGTCTCCACTTTGGGACCAGAACGTGCTTTACTAATTTTTTGGAATTAATGCAGTGTTGCTTCTTAAAGTTCAGTCTCACAAAACAATTGTTCTTAGTTTGGGCAAGTTGCAAGTTATTTATTAATGAAGGTCTGCAGCAGATGCCTTAATAGGACTATTAAACTAGATAAAGTTCATTAGACACATTGTCCCTGCTCTTTGAAAGCACTATACATTTCATCCCAATTCTTAGTGTTTTATTTGCTATTAGCTTTGCATTTCATACCCATTGTCTAATATTTATTTAATTCTGTTTTGATATTTACATCACCTTTCAGGCAATGTACTTCAGATTATAACAAACCACCAAACAAAAACTAAAAAAAAAATCTTTATATGTCTCCCCTCTGGAGCTTTTGCTAAATATCTTAAGACTGTGTCTATGGTTCTGAAGGATCCATTGCTGAAGACTACATTAACCTTCACCCAGATGGATGATGTCAAAAGGATTTGAACGAGAAAAAGTAGAAAATCTGAGGTTCTTGAACAGGATCGACCCGATATCGAGGCTCTCCTGATAGTCTCAGGAACAAAGTCTATATTTCTGTATGTAATTTGTCCCTGGTTACTATCATGCGGTAAAGTACAACTTGTTGAAGACAACACCCTCTTCTCATTCGAACAATGGTGGCAGCAATCTACCCAGCCATATGCTGTCAGTGGTTGGCATCACTTGCTCATACAATAATAATCAACACTCCTGCAATGAAAAAGTTTTTTCTATTGCCAACTTATCTCAACTCTCCATGTAACTAAAGTACTAAATACCCTGGTAACTTATGCTTATCAATCTTATTACTAGCCACTAGAGAGGCGAAGCTAACTAGCTTTCTTGCTTTTATACTCTATAGTCTTTATTTGTAGAAGATCCCCTTAGGCCATTTTAACGTACTCGAGGATGCTTTCTGGTACCAATGGGAACCCAAGGTGCAGAAAATTGTACAACAAAGTAGCGAACCAATAATTATTCTAGCCACTTCATTAATGTCATGTGTGTGTCCATTTTGCAGCTGAGGTAAAATGATTCATGATATTTGGTGACAACAAGGAGGTTGCAACTCTATTGACTATGTGGAGAGGCTGCCCCTCAATTTTTTTTTGGCATCATCTTTCAACAATTACAATCTATAGGTGCAAGGAGACTTGTGTTTAACTAGAGTACTGGTACAGACATAAAATAAATCAAAGAACTGCGGATGCTGGAAATCTGAAACAAAAACAGAACTGTTTCTGGAGAAACTCAGCAACTCTGACAGCATCTGTGGAGAGAAAGCAGAGTTAACATTTTGAGTCCAATAGCCCTTATGACTTAAAATGTTAACTTTACTTTCTTTCCAATGGTAGGCTGGATGGTCCATTTCTGTTTTTTCTAATTTTTGCAAGGGATGTTGGTGTCAGTGAGTAGGTCAGTACTTATTTTCCATTCCCTGATTGCCTCAGTGAATGTGATGCCTTCTTGAACCTCTGCAGTTCATGGGATGTAGGTACACCCACAGTTATTAAGAAAGATGTTCCATAATTTTTAACTAAGCACATGCGAAGAAAGGGCGATGTAGTTCCAAGTTAGGACGGTGTGAGCCTTGGAGGGAAATCTGTATTTGGTGGAGCTTCCATCTTTCTGCTGCCATTGTCCTTCTAGATGGTAGAGATTATGGGTTTGGAAGATGCAACCAAAAGATCTGGGTAGTGGTAGCTGTGGATCTTTATGTAGTAACTAATGACAATGTAGCAAGTAGAAGGACCCCATGTTGGGACTGCTCCTAGACTTCTTGAAATCAACAGCATGGAAATTCAAGATATTAAGGATTAGTGGGCAAAGATTCTCAAGCATTTAAACTGTCATATTTTGAGCTCTCGCACGCCTCAATAAATGCAGAATGTGATTAATGTCATAAACCCAGTTCACTGCAAATTGTCAAATCTGCTGAGCACTGTAAAGGACTTATTGCTTAATTGACAGAAAGTCAACAATTATTACTTGAACCAATGGCTAGGTTTTATTTTGTCCAATACTGTTCACTTCTCCTGCTTTGGAAAATGCTTGTAGTATTTCCGAACTAATCAGCACTCTGGTGAAGATAAATACAAATGCTGGTACAACATCATTGCATCTTTTTCTTCAAAAATTATAAATACTTCCACTTCTTTATGAACAAATGTCTCACTCACTATTCAATTTTCAATCAGAATTTCCCTTCCATTAAATTCCGACAAGTAATTAAAAAGCCACTTTTGTTTCCTATTTCTATGATTAAAGGTTTTATTGGAATTTATTAGTCACACAATACAGAACTTGTCCACTCATGTCATGATTCCTTTGACCTGAAAACAATGCTTGTACCCATAAATATAGTCAAGCATAAATTCACAAATTACCGCCTTCGCTCACTTTCTTCACAATTGTTACAGTGGTTCGTGATATTTTTGCATTTTTTTTTCATGCCTGTCTAGACACTAACCCAAAGGTAATGAAGAGGAATCTTCCAATACACACATGTAGCCCACCAGACTCTTACTGAGGTGATGGTATTTCCACCTCTGAGCCAGGAGGCCTGTGATCAAGTCTCACCAACTACAGAGGGGATCCACGAACAGAATGATTGGAAAATATCTTTAAGCAAACTGCCAACAATGATCAGCCCAGGTTAAAGAACTAGTGAGGAACTAGCTAACAGAACAAAAGTGAAGCTTACCAGTTAGGGAGGTATGGGTGGCAGAGTGGCACAGTGGTTAGCACTGCTGCCTCACAGTGCCAGGGACCCAGGTTCAATTACACCCCTGGGTGACTGTCTGTGGAGTTTGCATATTCTCCCTGTGCCTGCGTGGGTTTCCTCTGGATGCTCTGGTTTCCTCCCACAGTCAAAAGATATGCTGGTTAGTTGGATTGGCCATGCTAAATTGTCCATTGTCTCCAGGGATTTGCAGGCTAGGTGAAATATTCTTCAGAGGGTCAGTGTGGACTTGATGGGCTGAACGGCCTGCTTACACACTGTAGGGATTCTATGTTAATCTTCGGTATTATATATTCAGTGTTTGCTTGAATGAAGAGTCATCTAGACTCAAAATGTTAGCTTGCTCTCTCTCTCCATGGATGCTGCCTGACCCACTGTGATCTCCAGCATTTGTTGCTTTCAGTATAGATTCCAGCTTCTGCAGTAATTTGCTCTCATATTATAATTGCCTGGTTGAGTTCCAGAAATGCTAAATCTACTTGGATTTTTGCAAGCATTTCTTACATATTAAACTTTATTTGATTAAACTTTATTTGATTGAAATCTCTAAGGTCTTTGAATAACTAGCTGTCCTTGTAATGCGTTTTTTGTTCATCACAACTGTGTGTTGATTTGCTTTTTATTTGATCATGGGGTAAGGATGTCTGTGACTTGGGCCAGCACTTTTTGTCCATCAATAATTGCCCAGAGGGCAGTTAAAAGTTATATGTGGGTGGGACCAATTAAGGTTGGCAAATTTCCTTCCATAAAGGACAATAGTGAGTCAGACAGCTTTTTAACAATACTTGATAATAGTTACATGATTATCATTAGGCCAGCTCTTTATTCCATTGTTCTTAAGTTGAACTCAAACTTCCCCATCTATATGGTGGGAATCAAACCCACATTCTCAGAGTATCTTGTTCTGGATTGCTAAACCAGTAACATTACCACTACACCACTGCCATAATCTCCTTATTTGCAATCAAAAGACCATAATATACAGGAGCAGAATTAGACCGTTCCACCCATTGAGTCTGTTCCACCATTCAATCAAGCCAATACATTTCTCAGAAAAGAGAGGTGTGTTCAAACCAGCAGCAAAACTACATTACTTTACATACAAAGTGACTTCATGTTTCTACAAAAAGAACAAACAGTTGGTTTGCATATTTACAAGTACTTTCAGAAAGAAAAGAGATACTACTTCAATAAATACAAACCTCATTATTAGAAAACCACTCAGTACATCACTTGTAGAGATAATGGTAAATATCCTGGATCTGAAATCCTGGTGAGGGTTTCTTCTGGTTTCTTGCCAAAACGTCCGTGGATGTTCAGCCCCACCCTGGAGAAATGGCTTAAACAACTGTGTTGGCGCAATCTCTGCCAGTCTTCCATCCGGCAAAAGACCAGAGGAACTCGCCACCATAGGATTTCAGGGGCTCAGAGATGCCCTAGAATGAGTTTTGTAAGTGTTAGGAAGAAGTTAGAATTCCAGTGGATGCCTTTGTTGAAATGACCAAGCATTTCTTTGACATTTGTAGTCTGACAATGTTCATATTCAATTAGCAGCTAGTCCCATCAGTGGAGCTCATCAGTCATCATGTTTTTCTGGAGGCACTACCTGAAGAATGATCTGGGCTGTTGTGGTCATTAAATCTGCAACATAACACAACAGAGTGTGAATGCCTTATCCATAGATAATTAATTCCATAAGGAATAAAAAGAAATGAAAACATGGGTACTGTAAATCTTAAATAAAAATATATTTTCCTTTCATCAATACTGTTGAAATTTATATGTTAACATTTCTGCTCTGAACTTTATAAAATGAATTGTACCTCAGTTACATATTTTTAAAAAGCTTTGACAGAACTATTTTATATATCTGATATCTTGTGTTTTACGTCTAGCAACCTACTGATACCTAAACGTGGCTGACTACTAAATAGTATTCTCCAAATTTGCACTAACAGTCATTCAGTAAGTTCAACAGAAATCAATTACCCTGTTTCTGTTAGGTGCACTGGATCTCAGAATAAGAATGTAACCACAGAGTGCAGTGCTTTGCAATTTCCTTCTAGAAGTGGAACTGGCTCTCAGATCAGGAATGACAAAGATAAAATAAAAAAATTGATCCCTTCACACGGACTTACTTCCATCTCTCACAGACTTGCCATTTCTGCCAAATTAATGCATGTTATTACAGATGAGCTCCCAAAGGTATTGGCAATTTAAAGTAATCTGATTTGAATTACTTGGAGTAATTCACAAATGTCGGAGTTTTAGTTCAGTTCATATGTTTGCACATACTTATTTCCATGTATTCTGTTATCATAATTATAGGGAATGGTGAGCGAGGAAAATGTTGTGTTTCTATTTTTATAGCATCTTACTGAATTGCTCAATTTCTTGGAATATATGTTCAACAATGCAGCTTGCTTCTATCAATCCATCCAATTTCTCTGCCGAGGTGCTAATCTGTGAAATTCTTGTTAATTTACTGAATCCAATGTGTGTTAAAGTCTCTGGGGTGTGAGGGACTTAAGGGTGATGATTATTTTGTTTTCTCTTTCTGTCTGAATCATTAATCCATTCAGAACCTCTTCATTACAACTCTTGCCTTTACTATCCCTACATTGAAAAATATAACACGGTTCTATATATTCTCAAACCTCTAAGGTGGTATGAAATTCTTGCAACCTTCATTTCATATTTAGTTTTCAGTTTGAATCTTTCAAAAGCACCCCAACAGTTCTCACAGGTACAAGAAGACTAATATCATGTTTATCCTCTCAGTGCAGCTAACAAAGTCACTCACTGTTTTAAAAACAAGCTGTTGAGAATGCTGGAGAAATCTGAATGCTGGAGTTCTGAAATAAAAGCAGAAAATACTGCAAATACTGAGCACTTGGGAAATACTGAGGCCTGGCAGATTCTGTGCAGTCAGCAAACAGAATTAATTGATGGAAATTTTTTGATTTTGCTGGTGGTGAGCTTGTGAAATAGGAAGACTGGGCAGTAGAATACCTGAAGCCACCACCTCAACCATTTCTTAACATCTGAGTGAATGGTATTGTTATGGACCAGATCAAACTCCCTTCAAACATATCGAGGAGGTAGCCTAGACATTAACGTTTATCTTATTTAAAAGCAAGTGTAGAGTGTTGTGTTCCACATGTAATTCGATTTGTCATGCCACTCGGCTTTAAGCTGAACACACTTTATTCTTAACGTACAGTTGAAGCAGAAACAAAAGAAAGAAGAATTGGTATATCTTTAAGTCAACTGGAAAACTTAACAGAATAATAGATTATTAACCACTAAACAGCAACTGTTCCAATACAGCAATATCCCATAAAGACACCCTTGGCAAAGGCAAATTCAGTAAAATATATTGTCTCACATGTGAAGTTTCTCTTGACGAGAGAAAATTCTAGCAGAGCGAGAGAGATGTATAGCAACTTCCACAGCCAACTTTAAAAGCCCAACAACTGAAAGCTAAACTAAAACCCTGGTTCTCTGGGAGCCTGACTCTACCCATTCATGCTACTTTTATTGTGCTAACTTAAAAAAAAATCCCAGGTCCTCACAAGTTGTTTACTTTATTGGCTTGGAAGGGGCAAATTGGCACCTCTGAATCAAAACATCTTTTCAAAAAAAAAATCAGGACAAAATACACCTCTTAAAGCCATAGTATTGTCACAGTGTCATAACAATCAGGGACCACTCAAGGGCCTCCTCCTCACACCACATGGATTCAGCCCAATTGAGGTGGGCCTGTCAACGTGTGGTCTGCATGATGGGTGAAACTGTGTGGGTTATTTGTCGTCTCGGGTTGGGGTGGGATCGACATTTTGGCTGTGCAGACACTCAGCAGTTCCCTGCATGCTGACCTGTGTGCCAAAATCAGTTTCAGAAGTTGCTGCTGTGCTCGGACCTCGAATGTTCACGCAGAAGAACAACAGGATAAGAAGAAATGCATGGCAGGGGGAAGTAGTGTCTTGATCAAAGGCAGAGGTAAAAACTAGTAAAAACCAATAATAATTGAAAATGAATGTACAAGTCTTACAGAAGTTCTACCTTGAAATATACAAGATGAGTCAGGTTATTATATGTCATTTGCAAGTTTTACTGGATTTGCCTTCTGAGTGTCTGATTGAGGGGTCTGGACATCAGGAAGGGGGTTATGATGAGAAACCCTCAGCCCCTTACATTAGTTACCCGTGGCCTGGGTCCTCTCTAATCCTGGAACTCTAAATGGCTGAGGTGGGGGTGCGGTTATGGGGAGCAGGTGCCAATTACCGGCAGCTGCTATCGCCTCTTCAGAAGAAATGCCAGTCTTTAATTGGCAGACAGCTCCTGCTGGGTTCCAAGGGAAGACCCATTGCTGTCCTCACCACTGCCTGCTTAGTGTATGGTTTTGGTATGCCTTCTGGAAAAGAGACGCAACAGGTTTCTTGCCAGCTCTTTAGATGGCACAGTAGACCCTAGATGCCACAATTCCACCCAAATTTCTTGTCAAAACTGAATCTTTGTCAGAGCAGTTCTGAAGAAGCCAAAGTCAGCTCAAAATTTTAATCCTGTTGCTCTCTCCCTAGAGGCTCTCAGGCTTGCTGAGTAATTATATTGTTTTCTGTTTGTATTTCATTTTCAATTTTGTTGCCACTTAGTAATTTTTACTTTTGTATCATAGAATACTGCTACCTAATAATTTCAGCAATTAAATGCTACACAATTCAGCCTAGAATTCCTACAATTTATTATTAGTTTGCTATAATGACGTGAGACTGAAGATTCAGAATCTAGATTCAGCATGCTGGCATCATGTTATCCACAATGGATGGATTCCTCAATGATCTAATATCTGTATGCCTGTTAAAATACAGTTAAGAAATAAGATGTACTCTTGTCCCCATGGGAATGCAATTTACACAATTGAAGAGAAGAAAATAAGTTGAGGGTAAAATGATAAGCAATTGCAATAATGGGGCACTTTAACTAAAACTATTCTAAAATAGCCTGGTAAAAGACAAGTGTTACTCGCAAAAATGAGGAAAGGTGTTTACCATGTATCTAGGACTGTTTTACCTTAAAAGTATGTTGCATGTGCAGCAAGGATATATGTAGTGCTAGATTTAGTTCTGAGCAATGAAGAAGGACAAATAAGCAATTTGCAAATGGGACACAGTGTAGAAAATGGTGACATAACCTAATTAGTCTCACTTTGAAAATAAGCAAAGACAAATTGGAGCTTAAAATAAACCTGTTGGGACTAGAAATGAGTTAGTTTCAATGCTATGAACGGAGACCTTCTGCAGATTAATTGGTAAAAGAAATGGAAGATCAAACAGCAAAGAAGTTAGAAGTAGAGTTATCAAGCCTTTTATGGAATAGAAGGAGATTATTTGGTTTATTGATTCTATGCAGGACCCCTGGAGCAAACCAATCAGTCCCAAAACTTTCAATTGATTGCAGTAGCCCTGCAACTTTATTTCCTTCAAATGCTTGTCCAATTTCCTTTTGCAATCACTGATATTTTCTGTTTCTGCCTCCAACATTGGCAGCAAGTTACAGGTTGTAACCATTCATTATGAAGATATTAATCATTCTCACATTCTCCCTGCACATCCTTCCCAAAAACTTAAATCTCTGTTCACTTGTCCTTTTACGATAAACTAAAAGGAAGAAATTTTTGTCGTGCATCTAATCTCAGTCCATTATAATTTTGTATGCTTCTAACAAATATCTCCTCAATATCCTTTGTCTTTCCAATCTAACCTTGCAACTGAAGACCACTACCCTACACCCATTCTGCCTGCAATGTACAGAAATAGCAGATGAACAAGATATGGGCAAAATGCACTTGGATTAACAGGAACAATAGGAATATTTGTAAGTTGAGAAATAGTAGAAATAAGTTTGTCTTTGGGTGACAGTGTATGTTAGATAATATTGGATCTGTTGCATGATGTATTCCTCTCAAGATTTTCATTTCACCAACACTTGTCCGAGGAGAGAGATTAGGAAGGCTAGAAGCTCGTATGAAACACCATTATATTTCAACATGTGAGGAAAATGCAAGAATATACAAACTAAAAAAAAGTTAAGACAATTTAAAGATGAAGTGGCCATTTTGAATTAATAGTGAGAGAGTGGTGGGAGCAATGGTTTTACCAAGTGAGGTGACAATATGATGGAGAAGGCATGTGCAGAGAACCTATTACTCTAATCTAATGAATAAAACAAAGACTGTAGATGTTGGAAATCTGAAACAAACAAAAACCAACAAGTCCACTATCACAAGATGACTATTAAATACTTTTTCTACGTTAGGTTTTAAATAAAATTATCTGTCAACCAGGTTTTCTTCACAAATATTTGGATTATTATTAAAACAAAACTTATGTGAGACAGATGCAATAACTTGTTAACATTCACAATTGGTAACATGAAATGCAATGTTTATTCCTCTAAATAACCCAACACACACACACACTCTCTTTCTCTCTCTCTACAGATAAAGTGAAAAGCAACAGATTTCTCTCTGCAGAGGTTCGCTTCTTTTAAACAGAGATAAAAAGAATACATTTTCTGGCTATTAGCATTATTCTTGATGTCAAAAGTACAATGCGTGGGATGTTCCAGACATTGTTATA